GAGCTGAATGAGTGAGGAGAGATCTGAAATGCTGAATGGATGTGTTGATGTGACCCCGGCTGTGAGGAGGTGAAAGGAGGTGAGTGACGCCTCTGACAGGAGATCGCAGCTGATCCTCTCACTTCAGGACGGATCCGGTTTCAGGATGCAAAAACAATCTGGTCCGGTTTAATTCAGCAAACCTCAAATAGGACAAAACGAATTACAAGCAACATTTAGCAAAATATAGGGCTTGTTATAAATAAATAACTCCTTCATATTGATAAAGCAGCACTAGTGCAGTTACTCTTACAGATTATTTAACGTTTCCTATAAATTATTTACTAAGAAAATTTACTTTCAAGTCAGTTTGTCTTATTTCAGTTGTACTGAGATATTTGCACAAGAAACTAAACCAAAAATACTTGGAAAGATTTTGTGTTTTTGAATCCATGTTGTTTGGTTTTGAGCTCTAAACTGACAAACATTTGTTGTTTGTTTTATGGTTTATTTGTATCAGCTGCGTTTTCTTTAGAATATTTTCAATTGAATAAAAAATGATATTGATACCTGAAAAATTTGGAGAGAAATTCCCCATAAAATATTCAACCAGAAACAGTTTGGGGTCAAATCTGAACTTATGGATGATTTAAATGTCTCTATAGTGAAACCTGGATGTGCTTTTTATCAAATTATTATGTAAAATGTTAAAAATAAGGAATAAAATAAATAGGTCCATGTTTCCATTGTGAATTCCTGAAAGTTTTCAGTTTCCAAAGGCTAATTTAGCTCTGATATGTAGAAAATAATAATGTGTAAACCATTAAAAACTAAAGACAGTAAATGAGTTTTTCCTTCATTTGTTCATTTTCTTCAACGCTTTTCATGGAGTCAAACTTTGGTGACAAAGTGACAAATAAAACCTGGAGGCTGTTTTAGGTTTGGACACAAAGGCAAAACGGGGCTGAAACGAGGACAAAGCGGGAAGATAAACGACCGACCAGACCTAATTTATCTCCTTTTCTCAGCCATGACGGCGTGACAGAAAAGTTTGATTAATCTGAGCGTCTGGCTCTTTTGTTTGCAAACCGAATCAGACATGCTGCTGTAAAACCAGCCGATAACAATGGAGGGTTCACAGTGGAGCAAACTGTTCCTTTAGCTTTCTGTCCAGGAATCTGGGAGCTGAGTCTGACGGCCATTAATCAGTCGCCATAAAGGAAGCTTCCAGCATCGGGTAGTTTTGGCGATAAGCGGGACAAGTTGGCAGGAATCCTGTTCAAAGTGGGAATGAATGGATGTTTGTTACGTTTGTCTGCAGAAACCAGTTAAAGACGATCAGCTGGACTCTCGTTCTTAAACTGAACAAAATGCAGCTTCACACGACTTTATGTTTAAACATTTACATTAAAAAGTTCAAGACAAGGAAGAAGAAACTTTCAGTTTTGTAAAAACATCTTTAATTTAATCAGTTTGTCTACAAAAGCACTTTCATACATCATGCATTAAAGGCATTTAAACATTCAAAATCTGAACAAAATCTAATTTCTACATTGATCAAATAAAAAGGCAGGAGTGTGAATCCGGTTTTTCTTTCATTGCTTCTTAGATTCACATTTAATGATCACATGATGTTTAATTACGAGGTTAAAATCTGATTAGAGAAAAACGGATCCATGAAGGCTCGTGTTGAATAAAGTGCTGATCGCTCAGCTGGAAAAACAGAAACGTTTTAATTAAAACTCATTAAAATGCTCTGGAGTTCCACAGGGCTGAGTCTCCGACTGAAATCATGTAGAAAATAACGATCGATTACACAACCAAGCACCGGAAAATGATTCCATCAACAGTCAGTGATTAGCAGCTGTTGGTAACAGCCTGGATATTCATGAAGTTTGGCACAGATGAGGGAAACCATACGGCTCTTCCTCACTGAATTGTTTTTTAGGAAGATTTTCCGATCTGGAATCAATAAAAACGTCGTTTCCGGTGGCGACGTGTTGGAGATCTGATTTCTGAGTTGAGCTGCTGAACGTTTGGCCGATTATCGAGCGAATTGATTAGCAGCGCTGCCTGTTAGCTTGTCATAACGCTCATCTGACAGCTGGACAGCAAAAGTCTTCAGTCAGAGGCACACATAGAGCCGTTTCAACACTGACTGCTACTGGGGCATCACTATCAAAAGACACTGAAGACAGGATTTAATTTCCCTTTGAGAAAAAAACATATTCTGGACTTGAAACTGAAAATTCTTCTGTATCTTCAAAGTTTGCTGTTTTTTAATAAATGCAGAAATGATTCATAAGCTGCAGGAAATATAAATAACTAACGAAGATTTGTGTTTATAAAAGCTGGATTCTTTTCTGTGTGAGTTTTGTTCTGTTTGTCTGCAGCTCGTAGTTTTGGTAAATATTACAGGGATCCATTCTGTTTTCCATCAGAAAAACTGATACTAGCATAAAATCACAAAAAGATCTTAATTTTCATTTCAAGAACAGATGCAATTACGTCAAACTGTAAAAGATCTCTTTCGGTGTTTGCTTGAAATTACAGCTTTTCTTTATTTCTTCACCTGTCAAGTTTAAATTTACCATCATTTTTGGTTTCTTTTGAGGTAACAAGATTACAGATTATTGTTCCAGTTAAACGCTTGGGCCGGTTCTGAAGAAACTCCCTTGTGTTTAGATCTGAGAGAGAACAAGATGACACACACACACACACACACACACACAGACACACGCGGGCGGGGTCAAAGTGTGCCGCTGACAGCACTGATGTTTGACCCAGATCTCGGCTCTTGCGAAAGTTTCTTATGACAAAAACGACGAGAGCAAAGAATCAATCAGCAGATCCTGTGACGCCTCGCTGTGTCCTGGGAAGGAAAACGGGGGACAGATGTGAATCCAGACCTCGTTTTAGTCACGAGTTCGTATGAAAGTGGTGACGGCTGTGGTTTTATGAGAACAAGCACTTAAAGATTTTACTGTGACACCCAGCTCTGCATGTCCTGTTGCTGTGAAACAAAGGCAGACAGATCTGAACTTTCCCCTGAGTCCTGATTTACAGCCTGCTCTGAATCCTGTCTGCAGAGTTTGACGGGTCGATGTTTATTATGTTCCCACTGACAGACGAAGCCTTTGATAGTCTGTTTACTGAGCCGCTGTGTATTTATTGTGTCAGGGAGGCTGCTCTGTGCGAGTCACCTAACGTTCTAAAAAAGGAAACAAAGTGTGTATGCTTCAGGTTTTCTGGTTCTTGGAGTGTTTTGCTGAGAGGTAAACAGAACAGTAGCTGCAGAGGTTCCCTGGAAACGTTGGAGAAAGACGTTTGGGATGATTCAGTTTAAACTGCACACTGACTCCGACTCCCAGCTTCAGTCTGGTTGCAATTATGACAACAGAGACGGAGGCGGCCGAGTCTGGAGGGGCGAGCGAGCGAGAGAGAGACTCGCATTCCTCCGTGGCGCTGAACATCAGAGCCGGGTCGGGTCGAGGTGAACCAGACACCGACGTTCCTGTCGGATGAGAGCGCCACCTCTGATATCTGCCGGGAGCATCTTCAGAGGAAACCCAAACCAAAACTCTCCAGTGCTCGGGTCAAAGGTCAGCTCCCCCGAGGCAAAGAAGGATAAGAAGGCAGCAAAACCCAAAACGGAGGAAAGTTAAACTGTTTCTGTTTCTCTTGGTTCTGCAGCAACAATCAGCTTAAAAACATCCTGATGTTTTCTTCACATGAACAACTAACTGAGCAGGAAATGATTCTTTGCCACATATGAATATTATTTGTGTAAAGGAAACCATGGCGACCGGGATCCTTTCAAATTAAAATCAATATTCATTTCCACACAGCAACATTTTTCACCACTTCTTACATTTTAGAATCTCTACCATCCAAAATTAACCTCAGATATTTTTTAACTGTTAGAGGGAAACACTGGTGGAGTTACACCTCCAAACAACAAAGGCTGGATCCTACGGAGGGCCAAAAGGGACAAAATTATATCAATAAATACATCATTAAACCTTTAACCAAATGTCACTGGAGTTACACAAACCAAGAAATAATCTGCATGCTATTAGTTTGCATTTTAATCATATGTTCTATATATTGTCTTATTGAAACATTTATTGATAACATTTTGTCCCTTTGGCTCTGTATAGCATCCTTGTATCATCACTTACTGTCCAATAACTTCTGGCTTTTTACTGTTTCTGCATTTTAGATATTAAAGTTACATGATGATAATTAATGTGAACATAAGAGGTTGGCAGATTTGAGCACAAACACTGAGTCATGTTGCACAGAATGAGGAGGTTTTAAGGCCGACATGATGACAAACTGAGTCTAAAATATTCTACATATCTTTATCAGAACAAAACGTATTTAAAATATTGTTTAATAAATGTGGAAATCTGGACTTGACCTGTAAATCACAGTTAGCTAAACATGCTATTATCTCCGCCAGCTTTTGTATGTAAACGTTTCCCTGATCGATCAGTATCGTCTGGATCAATATGTTTGCAATCAGTCAGGATTTGTACATTCTGTGAATTCCCAAAGCATTTGATTCCTCCATGCTGTTTCTGAGTGAATCATCACTTACGCTGATGACAGTTTGGTTTGTTCCACAGAAACAATGGCTGCTTTGATCAGATTTACTCTTTGCTCTGGTGGGAAATAACTGCGGCTCAGTGGTGATAAAATAATTTAAATTAATGCTGGGTTTGATTTTAGACGCTTCAGTTCTTTTGACAGTGGAGTTCATTTATTTTAAAACTTTCGTTTAGCAGTCCAACATGAACAACGATCATGCAAAGCCGACCTGACTCCACACATCGCTGGAGTTTTTCCTTTGGTTGTGAATCTGTGCCAAATTTCATGTTATAAAAACAATAAATCAAATGTTTGTGACTGAAATGCAGCTGCATTTCAGCCGATCTGAAGGCGTAAATGATCCTTTGTGTTCCTGTTGAGGTGAAATGTTTTGTGTCCACCTTCATGTCTCCCAGCGGGACGTCGGTTCAGTCCACCAGGGACTTTAGATCTGGCAGTCCCTTCAGCTTCAGGTCCAGCAGCATCTGACCGAAGGCCTTTCCCTGGGAAGACCAAACAACAAGCGTCAGCGTGGGAATTCATGTTATTACATTTAAATCAGCTTCAGCTTTAATCTGCACCAGTTAAAGTTACAGAGACATAATACAGACTGCAGAGTCCAACAGTGAATCTTTACCTTCACAGAAAACCCAACAGTCTCACATTTTACCACAATCATACGGTTCCAGTATCACTGCCATGAAGGTTTACCAAAGCTTTAGAAACATGATGTTTAAACGTTGACAGGTTTGGTAAGAAGAAGGTTTGGTTTCTTTACTGAAACGTCAGTTTTAGATCCATCGGACTAAAAACTGAAATCTTTGTTCCTGAGTTAATTTCCAAACTGTAATCAGGATTTTCAGCTTTATGCAACGTATATCTGGTTTTCCCATTACAATACCTCCAGTGGTTTGGCCTGATTTAACTCAAATGGACCTGATGAAGCCACAGCATCCTCATCTGGGTTCCACTAATTGCTTAAAGGCGTATTCATCAAAGTCCATGTCAACGTCTGACATTGACGGCACAAACAAAAGGAAAAAAACATCCTTTTCTCATTACTGTGGCATTCAGCAAAGTGAAACAACATTCAGGAACGTTGAGTGTTTGTCTGCATCTGAGCTGAATTGGACATCAACCTGTTCACAAACCGTTTCCACATTTTCCTTCCACATGCAACTAAAACAGAACCAAGCACCAAAAGCAGAGCATGTCACAACTCCTCAACAAATCGACTGTTGAAACGAGAAGGGATTTCCTCACTGAGGAAGTGACACGACAAAGAGCTGCTGTCACAGCACAGCCAGCAGTTACTGGGAGTTCAGACTCTACTGGGTGATCTGACTGGGAACGCCGAGTCCTGCACAAACAGTTTGATGTCTGAGACAAGGACATAAAACTGAAGCTGTTCAAATAAAACAAAATGAGTGTTTCAGTCAAAGTTTCACCTCGGATTGAACATTTCATTGTAAAACAATAAACGTAGCTCATAAAATATCAGTAAAGATGCCAGTGAAAGGAGGTGAAGTCAGTAATTTCCCTCTGGGATCAATAAAGTGTTTTTTAATTTGATTTTGTCCAACATGTTGGAAGAGCTGAAGGTGAAAAACAAACAGAAGTAAATTTTATTCAAAGCTTTAAAAATAATAAAACTCTATTATTATTATTCTGTTCTTCAGAGTCAATTTTCATCAACTGAAAACAAACAAAACTTTGAAATAAAATTTAATGGAAGACAGTAAATCCTCTGGTTTCTGCATTTATGTTGAAGTTATTAATTCATAAAATAACTTTTCTTGCTCCGTTAGAGAACATTGTTGAAATTTGAGATTAAATGCGATAAAATGCTGATTTATGGGGAAACGATTAGAAAAATTCACATTTTGCTGGATTTTTGTACTGTTTGGGTTTTTACTGCTTCTAAAAACAAAGCAGACATTTAAAATAATCACCCAACACGTTTCTGACAAAAACTTTGTTTTTTGCTGACTGAAAAATGCACGGTTTGAAAAACCAGCTGGTTACAATGGCTGCTGGAAAAACAAGTTTTATGTTGTTGATTTACCGTCAAGACACGACTTGCTGCAGTTTTATTCATTGTGCAGGAGGCGCTACTTCTGCTTTTCAACAGAGTTTCATCCTCTAAGAATGTTTACGTACAAAAATGTGATGAAGATGTTTTGTGTAGACCGTAGACGTATCACAGCCTGTTCAAAGAACCTTTAAGGTTTTAATAAGATTTTAAAGGTTCAGTAGAAAATCATCTGTCTTTTTTTGCAGGTTTTCTACTTGTTGTTGGTTCATCTGCAGCTCCCTGACATTCCTCAGTGCTGAGTGAACCTTCAGGTGTCTGGACTCGTTTAACCTTCATGTGGGAGGAAAGGTGGTCAAAACAAGGACAGGAAACAGAAACGGGTCAGAAAACAGCTGAACAAGCAGAAAGTTCCCGTCTGTCTGCAGGTTTAGAGGCAAAACTTCAGGTAAAGGTTTGACACCGAGGTCACTCTTTGAAGTGAGCAGACGAAGCTCTGAGTGTGTGTGTGTGTGTGTGTGTGTCTGTGTGTCTGTGTGTGTGTGTGTGTGTGTGTGTGTGTGTGTGTCTGTGTGTGTGTGTGTGTGTGTGTGTTACCTGGGGGTCGCTGCGGAGCGAGGCCACCCCTCCCCCCCCAGGGAGCTCGTCAGGACAAAGTTGAGGCCATGAATCCCGGCAGAGTGAATCTGGAACCACAGACCCCACAGTGAGAACCCAGAGCTCGGCTCATGCGCTCATGCCTGGCCGTGTTTTTCTTGGACCTGCTGTGGGACTTACCAGAAGTTCATGTGTGATGAATGAACGGCTGAATCACCACTACAGTGTAACGTTGTGTGTGTGTGTGTGTGTGTGTGTGAGAGCATGGCGGCGAAGTGCGACCCTCAGAAACAGAGCGGTGTGTCTGTAAGCGTTTAAAGGTGAGGCAGCGCGGCCGCCCGCAGCGCTAACGAGCAGCAGGCGCGCTAACGAAGCGTCTGTGGCGGCGGGGGGCGGCTGGAGGTGTGAAAGGAGGCGCTGGTCAGTCGGATTTACAGCCTGAAACTCTTATTGGGCTAATCAGAACCACGCCACGTTCTGAGTCTGAGCTCCAGATTAAACACTCAGTTACTTTGAAAGTTCAAACAACAGAAAGTTATAACCTGGTTCTCATTGTGTCTGAATTTATGTGAATGTAACTTTAAATGAACAACAACATGTTGTTTATCCAACTGACCTGCAGAGACAGAAACCTGGAGCTGCAGATCGACGTTGGTTTGATGAAGAGCCACAAAAAACTTCCATTACAGATTTCTGATGCAGATTATTAATCTGATGTAAAAACTTACAGAACCAGAAACCAGGAGTTTCTATTGTCTCAGTTCTCTTCAAATAAGGCAAAACATACCAGTAACATTTCAGCAAGATATGTCGGCTTGTTTTAAGTCCTTCATAATGATGAGAAAGTACAAATTTTAAAACATGGGAGAATTATAAGTGAAATGATCAGTCATTTTAAATCGATTTAATTCAATATTTACTGAAAACAAACTCCTATATTTCACTGATGAGCTGCTTGTTATTCAGTTTATATTTGCACCAGAGGCAGAAAATAAGATTGTGTAGTTTTGTCGGCTGTTTCTCACATGTTTATGACAAACTCAGACATGTTTCTTAAAAACATTGCCATTGTTTTGCAAAATTAAAGAAAAAAGTGGCCACACATGTAAGAATATTTGTATTAATTTGGAGCTTGTTTTTCAATATGTAGGGAGGAAAACATTTTATTGTACGTTTAGTTGGGTTCTGTCTCCAGGACGGTCCGCTCCGTCATCAGTGGGGTTAAAACATTTTGTCAGATGTAAAGCAGAAGCCCAACCCTCCCTGTAGAAACGTTTTTCTATTCCAGGATCACAACATTACGATTAAATCAAGCAGGAATTGTTCAGCGCTCAGAAACAAAGAGCCTGGAGAGATGAAGTGTGTTTTATGCTCTGCTTTCCTGCCTTACTGGCTCAACTTGGTGCTTAAAGTCCCACAGTACGAGCCTCTGTTCTCACCGTGTGACGGCGTTCTGCACGCCGGGCTCCATCAGGTGAGAGAAGTAGTCCTCCACCACAGAAGAAGTCAGGTGCTTCTTCAGGTAAGGGAAGTAGAGAGGATGGCGAGCGATCACACCTACGGAGACAAGCGAAGGATTTTAAGTTTAACACTCACCTTGTTTACATGATTTATATGAATATGTCATAAACTGATTTTCCCCTTAAGCCCCAGCAGCATTAAAACCCAACAAAAGACGAGATGCTAGCTACCTGACGGTGCAGCAGTGTCTCCATGGCTGGACGCGTTGATGTCTTTGTAATCAGACTTTTCTATAAGATCGTTAACTTGTAGAAAGTGTTTGTCTGTCTGTGGCCATTTTTAAGTGAAATCAACTAAATCAAGTGAAATTAGGCTGAGCTGGTTGTTTGCTGCCTGTCATGGCGAAGTGGGCGGAGTTTTGAAGAGCGTGACATCATGGGCCAAAGGTCAGAAGTCTGAGAAACCCTGGGTCAGCCGCACTTCATACTGGCACCACAGCCTGGTTTAAACTGCTATGGGCTGATAGAATCTGATCAGAGCATGAATGCATTGAAAGATTAAATTTAACTACCATTTAACGAGTCGCGGTCTCCCTTCCCTATTAAATCTCTCTTTGTGGCTGAAAGCTTGTCTGAGGAGCTCTCCGCTCTGTATCTGGGTCTTTGGCTGCATTCAGACGCAGCGCTGAGGTTTACTCAGGTTCTCACCGATGTTTGCCGAGTCTCCTTTGTCGCCGCTGTGTGTATGCCAGGTCCTCCAGCCGGTAGCTGTGTGGTCCACTGGGCAGGTCTGGAAGGAACCAGAAAGACCTGCGTGTTTGGCCCAGAAACTTGTGGCACAACAGAGACAAACACACATTCAGCCTTTAGCTGTTTGCTTCCTGCCAGTGGTCCGAATGCAACCCGTTCACTTCGAGCTGAAGGCTCTCAACAAACCAGAAAAGCTCGTAAAAAGTTGCTAAGAATGTCAAGAATCTATGAAATGGGCGAAAAAACAATGAGTGCACAAAGACATCTGTAATCAATTGAGACTCTAGAAACCTGTAATGTTTTCAAGTAGCATGTTTTGTGCTTTATAATGACTGTAACTGGAGCTACTTCATGTTTTATGGATCCACTTCTGTTCACTTCCAAGCACGTCTGAAAGTGAATGCATACACAAAATAAAAACACTGCAGTTTGCATGCAGGTTTTGTAAAGAGGAGCAGCGTCTGAACAGCCTGAGGTTCTGCAGAACAAAACCACTGAAAACAGGAAATGGGTCAGAACCAGCAACACTAGTTCTGATGCCAGAGGTGAACAGAACCCTGAACGTCCTGCATTATGAATGATTAGTTTTTAAATATTACCACACATCTTGAGGGTTTTTTAAAGTAACCTGAAATTTAAATAAATCAACTAATACGGTTATCAATACCGACATTGATCCTGATGTTGAGGTGAAACTCATAACTCAGAGACATTTTTTACACAATAATCTCTAAATACTGTAGTTTATCTTCATCATCCATACAAAACAATCTGGGTAAACAAGAAGCAATTCAAGATAATAAATAATAATAATAATAATAATAATAACAATAATAATAATAATAATAATAACACCAGTGATAAAATCAAAACAAGGTCGACTGCTGATGTGTCCCAACAGAACGAACCAAGCCAATGAAAGTCATTACCAAGAACTTAAAAAACCCAGAATCCCTCAAGGATGTTGTTGGTAAAATAAACTAACAGGAGTTCTTGTTGCCAGGTCGTTTTCATCTATAAACTGATGAACCAATCAGAACCGGAGGTTCTGATCACTCTGAACTCGGACCAGCCGATAGAAATCCAGCGTTGCTGCAGGAATGAATCTGAAACACGCAGAACTTCAGATCCAATCAGGACTTACTGAGAGAACGTGAGACGTTTGTTCACCTGTGGGAGGAGCTTCATCCTGACCAGAGGTGGGAGGAGCTTCATCCTGAGGCTGCTCAGGTGCGTCCGGTCCCGCTTCAACAAGCGACTCTACCAGTTGTCCAGCAACGTGGATGTCCACCTGTTGAATGTTGGCGCTTCAGGTGAGAGCACGTTAAACCTGGAGGCTCTTCAGCTTCATGTTGTTTTTGGTTTCCCAGAAACTCAAGACCTGCTGACATCAGGTCATCAGAGATAAACTGACCTTTATCTGGGCTTTGGGATGCAAGAAGAAAATCGGTTTCAGGACTGGAGACCTGTGAGTATAAACCAGACACAGACTTAAACACGTCGATTCTCAGGTTTTTATGTGAAACGGGGAATAACTCACACTCTGGGTCGTCCGCCCACGATGCCGGTGAGTCCAGGAGCTGCAGGGAGAAAACAAGATTTCAGGTCATCAGATGAGAGCGGGAACTGGCCAGAGTCAGGCAGGGTTCACCCCGAGTTGAAAGAGTCCGACCCGAACGCGGCTCCAGAGGTCGTGACCTCTGCTATCTGCAGCCGGCCGAGGAAGGCGGCAGTTCAGTAAACTCAGTCTGTTTACTGCTCACTGACTTCCAAACAACAAAGACGATTAATTAACGGCAGCATGACTTCACCGACTGCAGAGAAACATCCAGAAACCTCTGGACCAACTTCGGTTCACATTTTGGTTTCCACTCTGCTGCAGAGCAACGATAAGGAAGCGGAGGAGCCTTCCTATTGGTCACGTTTCATAAATACATGCAAACGCTCTGCTTCACAAACACCATTACATAATCAGCCGTGCAGTCTGAGACCGATGGCCAGAGGAACATTGTGAAACTCACACTTCAGAAATATTTCTTATTTTTACGTAACAGTTTGTGGTGCTTCTGCTGGTTACGCCTGGTACTGCAGGTCAGCCCGTCTTTCCCGTTTGAGACGATGGGATTGTCCGTCACATCGTCTGAATATCATGGGATATGATGCTGCAGCAATTAAAGATTCATTTGAGAGTACAAGTACAGAGAGAAGCCAGCAGGTTTAACAGAGCGACTCGTCTTCCTGATGATTTCTGAAGCTGCTTTGGAACTTTATTTAGGACGTTTCATAACGACGACAGCCAAAATATAAAACACATACAACTGAATGAATGTCAGTTTAAGGAGGCAAATTAAAACACAACCCAGCAGCTGAACTTTGCACCAGAGGAAGAGTTGGACCAGATGGAAACCGCACTGCTGAGGAAACATCAGGAGAAAATGGAGCCGCCACAGAAAAGACACAAACATCGACGCACATCTGAACCGCAAGGGATTTTGATCAGATTTTACCCCAATGATCAAATAGTTTCTCAGAGAAAGGATCCTCAGAGCCGCCATCTGAGTTCTGTCTTTTCCTCACGCAATCAGTTAAATCAGAGTTTCACGCTGCGAAAACAACATTTTACCATCTCTATGGTCCAGTTTCTACTGCAAGTACATTACAACACCTGAATTAAAGGGGCAGTGTTATTACAACACCTGAATTAAAGGGGCAGTGTTATTACAACACCTGAATTAAAGGGGCAGTATTATTACAACACCTGAATTAAAGGGGCGGTGTTATTACAACACCTGAATTAAAGGGGCGGTGTTATTACAACACCTGAATTAAAGGGGCGGTGTTATTACAACACCTGAATTAAAGGATCGGTGTTATTACAACACCTGAATTAAAGGGGCGGTGTTATTACAACACCTGAATTAAAGGGGCAGTGTTATTACAACACCTGAATTAAAGGGGCGGTGTTATTAGAACACCTGAATTAAAGGGGCAGTATTATTAGAACACCTGAATTAAAGGGGCGGTGTTATTAGAACACCTGAATTAAAGGGGCAGTGTTATTACAACACCTGAATTAAAGGGGCGTTGTCATTACAACACCTGAATTAAAGGGGCAGTGTTATTACAACACCTGAATTAAAGGGGCAGTATTATTACAACACCTGAATTAAAGGGGCAGTGTTATGTAAAATTGACTTTTTTCAGGTCTGCATCACGTTGTGATGTCACTCCCTCATCAGAAACATACATGGAGTACGGGTGTAGCGATTCAATAATCTCACAAAACAATACACGATATTCTGCTCACGATGCGATATATATCAGTATATTTTTCAAAACGATACAATTTGATGCGATTTGATTTATTTTTACGATTTTCTGAAAGATTTTTAACTTACACTGAGCCATGTTCCCCAAAGTTGAAATTGAAATAATTGACTTAAACTCCAACATGTTGACGGAAAGTTCTGTCTTATTTAAAATGTTCAAGACGTTTGCAGCAGAAACCAGAATAAATACTCTGTAATATTTGGCGTTCAGATGCAGTTGCTCTGCATGTAGCTACAGAGGGAGCCTCTGGGTGTGGAGAGGTTTCCGTACCCATGCCTGTTCCTGCGGGAGCCACCTCCCTGGAGAAGATCTCCAGCGCTTTCTTCTGCTGGTGGTGGACGGCCATCCAGATCACGGCCTCTCTGCAGTCCTGCACACAGACACAGACCAGAGTCAGGTTGATCCGCTGCAGGCTGGCGGCGCCGCTCCGCCGCAGCCTCTGCAGGAGGCTCCAGGCGGGGAGCCGAGGTTCACGGCAGCGTCTGTGGCGAATAGAGAACAAGAGACACACAGAGGGAGTTCAGAGGCTTGAAACAGGCTTAGCTTTGACCCTGACCCAGTTGGTCCGACACCGAGACGCAGACAGAGGAACCACGCAGCAAACATTCATCTTTTAAATCAATTATGCTAAAGATACGTTGGTAGAAACAGGCCTGTCAGGAAAACAAAGGTTGCTGGATGTAAAATATAATAATCCCCTAATGAAGAACACATTCCTTAAGGTGAATAAACTTAATAATTCTGTTGCTTTGAGACCATTTTCAATAATGATCATTATAATGAAAGAACACAACATTAATACACTTTAAAATCTAATGGGCATTTAACACTGGAACTGGAAGACGTTTTAAATGTTAAACAACAAACAAAATTACTTATAAAGTCTCTGGAGACAAAGTTGTCCTTCAAAATAAAAGCTGGTAGAAACCAAATAACCAGACTGAAGACTTTTGTCATCCAGTTTTTGGTAGAAAGAGAAAAATTGTAAAAATGTAAAACAATGTTCCAACCCAACACCAACCATTACTGGACCCGAACCTGCAGAATCTCAGGTTCTGTTTGGTTTTCTTACTTTTCTGCAAGCGTTTGGGCCGTAAGTGTCTTCAGCTCCAAGAACCTGAATATTAACCGAGTGAAAATCCTCCAGGTCCAACTGCCGAAACATCCTCCTGGTTCTGAACCAACAGAACAAACCCGTTAAACTCAGTCAGCGATGATTTATGTGATCAGAACCCAGAGAACCCAGAGAACAGAATGAGAGGAACCGTCCAGCTGGGTCGGTTCTCCTGCACGCACCGTCTGATGATGCTGTCCGCGGTCCGCCGGGCCTTCTCCGCCGCTCTGGGCCCGCCCACCGGACACACCGCCGTCGCTCTGAACCCGTCCATGTAGGTGGCACACACCTGGACGCCGGCAATGACATCACCATTAACCCTTTGCTATGGAGTCCCGTCTCCTCCTGGTGGCGCCCTCTGCTGGTGGCGCTGCGGATTTACCTTGTAGTCAGGAGAGGGGGCCAAACCTCTGGCGCCGGTGACTCTGACGGCCCCTCCGTCTACACCTGAAACACGACTTATCAACATCACTGAGACACAAAAACATATATTTAAACTATTTCTTAATAGTGTTTATGTATTTTTTTATTTTCTAAACACTTTTTATAATTTAACGTTTTTAATAAACTCTTAAATGATTTATTCTGTGTCCTCTGTTGTCTCCATATCCGAACCGTCTGGATCTACGGAGCGGACCGTCCTGGTTCTGGACGCCGCCTCTCCTCCGGTTTCGTCCCGCAGCGTTTTGTTCACCGCAGAGCTGCAGACTGACCCGTCTCTGGTTCCCCAACCCGCCTCGTTAAGGTCCAGAGATAAACCGAGACGGGTCGGCTCGCGGTCAAACGGCTCTGAGTTCAACGAGGTCCAATCAGACTGAAGTATTTATATTTTCCAGCTGGAAGTTCCCATCACTGCTCAAACATTAACGGCTGATTCTGGTTTTAAGGGATAAAATGTACAGATTTCTGTAGAAAAACATGTTTTTCATTTGCTGACTCTGTTCCCTCATCTTCACTAACCGAGATGTAACCGGGTCACTGACATACATGTGTGAAATATTCTGGATGTACTGGAACCAAAATGCACACACAGCTCTTATTTACTCAGGCTGAGCAGAGGGAGGGAGACCTGAGGGTGGAATTTCAGAAATCTGGCAACAGCAGTGAAGTTTCTCTCTATCAATCAAGAAAGTCCTGAATTAATGACCAACAGGCAGAAAATGAGGCGTTTTATCAGCGAGGAGGAGCTCAGCAGAAGGTTTCTGGAGTTCAAGGGAAGGTTAGGCGCTGCTGCCCAAAGGTTCAGGCCGGGGCTGACGGATCCATGTTTAGGTTTATAAAAGGAAAATCTGTGACTGATAGCTGATAGAGAGTTTAATGGAGGTTCAGAGGAGGGTGAAGGGTTCAGTCAGGGGGCCAAACGAAGCTCCAGATGCATTTGTTTAGGAGATTTTCAGGGTTATGAAAACAGTCAGCAGTTCAAACTGTGGTCATGTCCTCAGGACTGTGTGTGTGTGTGTGTGTGTGTGTGTGTGTGTGTGTGTGTGTGTGTGTGTGTGTGTGTGTGTGTGTGTGTGTGTGTGTGTGTGTGGTGTGTGTGTGTACCGGGCAGTTCCTGGATCGCCACCTGGCTGAAATCACAGATGACGTCGGGCAGCAGGTATCTCCGCGGGTCGGCGATCTCGTACACCAGCTGCTCGGCGACGGTTCCGAAGGAGACCAGGCCGCCGGTTTTCGGAGGCTTGGAGAGAACGAAGGATCCGTCGGAGGAACATTCGACCACCGGGAAGCCCATGTTGTCCCTGAGAGGGGAGCAGAGAGCAGCTGTGACCAGAAAGATTCCTCAAAACACAGTTATTATTTGGAGATGGATGAACGAAAATCAGAAACTCACCAGTCGGGAACTTGGTGCCAGTCGGTGAAGATCCCTCCGGTGCTCTGAGCTCCACACTCAATCAGATGACCTGCAAGGCTGAAACGCAAAACGACAACGACGAGATTCAAAAACATGTTTCTGGGTTCAGCATTTATTTTATGTTTTTATTCACATTTCAATTGTTTTTTCTTAATTTTTCCACCAGTCTAATGATAATGATAATAATTATGCAACGTTTGTGTTACAATAAGATTGTTTTTGGTCTGATCTTATGTGTTTGCTGCTCTAAGCTGTACAAAAAAACCCACCTGCATTTACACAGCAAGAAATAAAAACTTGAATAGGAAGAATATATATTTATTTTAAATCCTGCTGGATTTTCTAGTGTTTGTGTTTTTTTACCTTCCTGCTGCAAGCAAATCGTAATCGTCCTTCTTCCAACCAAACTGCAACAGAAACAAACTGACTTAAAGTCACATCTGAACAAAACTCAGATTAAAACAGCCATAAAGTCCTGCGATGGAAACCAAACTATTATTTCTACATAAATCTTTAGCCACAAATAGTTCAGAGTTAACTTGAAACCAAACTTTGGGAAAATAACTGAGTCATTTTCAGTGAAAGGCCGAATATGGCAGGATATTCTGTCAGATTTCAAATCCCTCCAAAGATCTTCTAAATGCTACAGTATGCTAAGCTATGCTAGGCTGTTATTAGGAACATGATGTTATTTTATGCTATACTAAGTTATAAAAATAAATGAAATATTTTCTAAATACTATGTAATATGTTCAGCTATGTACTGATGTAATAATGTGCTATGCTAAGCTACAGAATGATAGGCTACAACATGCTACGCTATAATATCCCACTTAGCATGCTATGCTATAGCATGCTATGATCCCGTATGCAAGGCTACAGCATGCTATGCTACAATGTGCTATTCCACAGAATGCTATACTGTGTTGTGCTACAGCATTTAATGCTACCACATGCTATGCTACAATATACTGCAGCTATGATGTGCTATGCTATGCCAGTGTATTTTGAGTGATGCGATGTATTAATTAAAGAAATGTGAGCAACATCTGGATTTCAATGCTTTAAACCTGGAGTTGTTAGCACTGTTGCCTAGCAGCAAGCAGGTCCTGGGTTCAAATCCCAACCTGGGATCTTTCTGCATGCGCTTTTCATGATGCAGGTTTTCTGCAGTTGCTTTCTGCGCTTCCTAAATCCTCTACAGTCAGTCAGCTGTACCGTGTGCAGGAGCGGTCCCAGAGCCACGGCGCTGTCCACGCAGCGCCCCGTCACCACAACGTCGGCTCCCAGGTCCAGGCAGCGGCGGATCGGCTCGGCCCTGAACACAGGAAGGGAATCGTATTAGGATATTTACGGTAAATTTAAGGCATTTATGATTCAAAAATTACATCAGGTTTTGTTTTGTGCTTTCTATTCAATAATAATAAATAAATAAAATACATCAGTAAACAGATCAGTTCATCTTTATATCTATATTTCCATGTTCGTACCCCAGGTAGGCGTTCATGCTGTGCAGCGTTTTAGGCAGCGGCCGCCTGCCGCCGCCGTCGGCCATCTTTACTTCAGACAGGAGGCTCCTCTGCAGGAAACCAGAGATCATCTCAGATCAACTTAAACTCTCAGGACGTGTCGTCAGATCAGAGGAGGCGTCATACGCTGGGCATGAGGTCATCACCGGTCACCACGGCGACCTTCAGGTCCAGCCCCGCCTTCTTGATGACTTCCTGTATGGCCTCAGCGCAGGCCAGCGGGTTCACTCCGCCCGCGTTGCTGACGACACGGATACCTTTCCTGTGGATGTCGTTGATGAACGGAGCCAGAGCCACCTGGACGAAGTCCAGAGCGTAACCCAGGTTCTGCAGGAAGGAGAGAACGAGCTTTAAAGCAGGGACAACAGCACCACCTGCAGGCGCCGAGCTGCAACTGCAGATGAAAATCATGTTTCATCTGTTGATTCAGATAAAAACTAAAGTTTTTACGCAGATCAGGACAGGAAGTCATTACTGCCATGAAAACATATAAAACCACACAGGAAGTTATAATTTAAAGTCTTGAAGTGGCAATAAAAATTATGAAGTAGAAAATCAAAATTAGGATTTTTTTCATTATTTCTGAATTTAATTATTATTTATAATTTCGAAATTATGACTTTCAATCAAATAATTGATTCTCATAACTGTGACTGGATCTCAAACTTACAACTTTGAAAGTTGAAATTATGACGTTCTGTCAAGCCTTTAATTTTGCTTTCATGGCCGAAATAGACTGGATAACTCAGATTACATTATTTATTGTATTAAAAAGGAAAAAAATATTAATGATAAAGAAAAATATAATTGCCATAAAGTAAAGAAATAAATTATGGACAAAAACCAAGAAATTATAATACAGAAATTATAAGCAAAATAAAAAATAAATAAAAATCTTTAAGAATTTTTAAGACTAATATTTGGTGCTTGTCTGGTTTGCTTTAAATAGTCAGGTGAATGTTAAACAGGTGAGTGTTGAACAGGTGAGTGTTGAACAGGTGAATGTTGAACAGGTGAGTGTTGAACAGGTGAATGTTGAACAGGTGAGTGTTGAACAGGTGAATGTTAAACAGGTGAGTGTTGAACAGGTGAATGTTGAACAGGTGAGTGTTGAACAGGTGAATGTTAAACAGGTGAGTGTTGAACAGGTGAATGTTAAACATGAATGTTAAACAGGTGAGTGTTGAACAGGTGAGTGTTGAACAGGTGAATGTTGAACAGGTGAGTGTTGAACAGGTGAATGTTAAACAGGTGAGTGTTGAACAGGTGAATGTTGAAAAGGTGAGTGTTGAACAGGTGAGACTCACAGGTGTCTTGGTCCTGGCGGCGGTGAGCAGGGACATGGTGATCTCACTCAGGTAGTCGAACACCAGGAAGTCCAGCTTCCCGCCGTAGATCAGCTGAGGGGCTGAAAACAGAACCAGAGACCGATCAGCGGGCCCAGAGGAGCAGAACCACCGGACCTTCTGGCTCCGGCTGTGTGTGTTTCTTTAAATGTTGTCACAGGAACCAAAATGTTTGGAGGCTTTTAAGTGGGTCAGGCTCAAAGCCTCTGTTGCCATGGCAACAAGAGGTCAGCGATCCAGAGGTCAGGTGGAAGAATCCTGACCCTGATTTTACCTGGAGGAAAACAAACTGTACTCTTTACCTGAAAGCACAGCTGATGGGAAGCTGCAATAAGGTGGCCTAGTCAAAGTAAATGAGTCTGTCACCTAAAGTCCCAGTGAACCGAGGTGCTTAAGGGGGGAAAAGTTCTGCAAAGCATCATAACACCAGAACGCATCATTACAGAACCCGCAGGTTGTTGTTTATTAACCAACCGGAAATGCCCCGCAGCTGAGCGGTTCCGCGGCACCGAACCCTCCGCCAGTTCTTACCCGACGTGGCCGTGTCCCCCCAGAACCCGGAGGCGCAGCCGATCCGGACCGGTTTGCAGCTGCTGTACCGCCTGGACTCGCCTCTGCCGTCCGGGTCGGCTCCACCGGGCCGCAGAAAGTTCGCTCTGGAAGACAAACCGACGCACTTGTCTGCGCTTCCTCTGCGCCATATCCGCTCCGAGTTTGAGGGCGAAAAGCGGAGGAAGCGAGGAAGCCCAGACATGCTCCAGAAAACCGCCCCGCTGAGCAGGACGGGAAAACACGGGAGAAAAGTCCAAACTTCTGCCCCGCTGGTGCGTCAGCAAAAACAATCCGATTGGAAACGCACCACGAAGGTTCCGCTCTGCAGTAGATTAATAATATTTTAATAATTCTGAGCTTTTTATCAGGAGAAATTATATTTTTCACAACAACTAACGGTCATGCAATTAAAACCTCCTGGCAGAGAGAGTTTAATTCATTAAATTATCACAAAACATATGATTATTACTATTCTTCTGCTGTTTATTTTAAATAAATGATTTATGTTTGCTAAAACACAAAATAAATTAATGTTTTAATTCCATTTCCTCGTTTATCTATTTAAAAATTCCCAACTTTATTTCTTAATTTATTTGTATTTATTTAGTTATAAATCATAATAAAATCCTAATTATTAATATGCTGTAATTTTCTCTTTGCCTCTTTCTTTTTCATTTTCTCTTTCTTCCATTATTTAATATTATAACAATTTAGCTAATTAAATTGATTTATTTATTTCTTAAAAGTTGCAATTTGTATATTTAAGTATTTCAGTTATTTCTATCTTGCAGTATTTATTTTTATTTACTGATTTTTACATTTATTCTGGAATATGAAACTAAACCAAATCAAATATGTTTCTTAGCTCTGAAGTTTAGTTATTTTTGTACTTATATTTTTTATTTGTTTAATCAAAGTGCGATGAAAAGACATTTTGCTTTTGATTGTGTTTGCATTGACATGCCATACTACACCACCGCTTGATTTGCTGCGTTTGCATACATGCTGGGTTTAGAACGAGAAACATCAGACGCTTTTACGTCTCCATTTCAAACTAAACGACAGCTGAGATCACTAATGACTGACTCACCGGGATTAAGTTACACGAAAACATTCGATCAGTTCGGTTTGTTGGTTTAAGTCCAAATATATGTGGAGTCATTGTCCAATTCTGACAGTCAGAACCAGAAAGACGATACATGCAGGTTGGATCCAAATTAACAGGTACATTTCTATCACTTTTTTATTTATATTACTTTTTATACAATATTGAGAATCACTGTGTCTAGAATATCCTGGATTATTTATGGATTTGATGAGTTATTTGATATGTTTGTAGTAATCAAAGCAGAGTGATTCATTGATAAATGACTGCAGGAATCTTTTTATCTGAAGTCCAAAAGGCTCAACGTTAATATTCCAGTCATCAAATCTGATTCCTGTAGAGTTAAATTACAGCCAACATGTCTTCAGCTCACTGCGGTTTGCAGACGTTTGGTTCTGCACAAAGACAAATGCCTCCTTTAGTCTGACAAGGAATCTTGATACGGACTTTGACTGGGCCATTGCAATGTCTTTGTCCTCGTTTTTCCAGCTGTTCTGTCGTAGATCGGCTGTTGTGCGGCAAAAATTGTGATTCTGGGCTGAAGAAAGAAGCATTTCCGTTCTCTATTCCTGTCATTTCTTCCTGTATTGCTGACAATAGGTCTCATAAATTAAAAGAGGATTAGTTAGCGATGGTTTAACAGTTTTTGCTCGTCTTTCTAGGTCATGTCTGTCAACGCTTCGTTGTCTCCTGGTGTCCTTCCTGTTTCCTCCAACTCCTCTGATCTTCCCTTTTTCCTGGCCTGTCAGCAGTCGGCAGTCAGAAGAATGATATTCCTGTTGTACTGCATCATCAACGTTCTCCTCCTCGTCCCGCTCTATGTCTCCGTCCTCCACACGGCGGTCCAGCGGTGGAGACATCAGCGCCCTGCCGGGGCGACCTTTAGTCCCTCCGACTTCTTCACCCTCAACATGATAATCCTAGAGATCGTTTGCATTGTTGGATCCGTCGCTTTCACAACCAGCTTTTACTGTGAAAGTCAGATTCTGCTCTTTCTGGGTGTCTATTTATTCTCTATGATTTTACCTGGACAAACATTCTTACATGTGCTGACCTGCGCTGACCGCTACCTCGCCGTTGTTCACCCCATCGCCTACATGCACAGTAAGGAAGCCCACCGGGTCAAATCAGAACCATCAGCACCGTTTGGGTTTGGCTGCTGTGTTTTGGATGGGTGGGGCTGATACGGGTGTACTTGCCACACTTTCCAGCTGTTCCTTTTTTCATTTTTTTAGTTCTCACCATCAGTGTGATGGTTTTCTTCTGCTCCTCTGTCCTCTGGGTTCTAACTCACCCAGAGTCAGCGGAGGCGGGCGATCAAAAACGACAGGCTGACCAAACCAAACGCAGAGCTTTTTACATAATCTCGGCCATAACCGTCACTCTAGTGTTGAGATTGCTGGGCTCCTGGTGGGTTTTGGGTTGAAACACGTGGTCTCTCTGGATCCCAGCAGGTTCTGCGGATTCCTGGATTTAGGAATCTTCCTGATGTTTCCCAGCAGCCTGGTTCTGCCTCTGCTGTTTCTGCACAGAGCCGGAAAACTAACCAGCTGTACAAACTAGAGCCTTGTTACAAAATGTTCAGCTTTTACTTTTCTAACTTCCTGTCAGACTTAGCTGCGCTACAGTGCTATCATTGGCTTCTACTATGAAAAAGACACCTGATTACTGGTTTTTTAAACAATGAGTCAATGTCAGCCTTACATTAGTGATAAGAAAACAAACAGCACAGATGAACGACGACAGGAAAAGGTTTTAAAATGAGGTGAATTAAATGAGTTTGTTTTAATTGCTTTGCTTCTTGTTTAATGTAAACAAATGTTGCATTATTTTCCACTTTGATTTGTAGTAGTTGTTTGTCCCTCATAGAGTTTCCTCCAATTTCGCTTCATTTAACTTTTCTAACTTCCTGTCAGAAATAGTTGTGCTGCAGTGTTAACACAATCTGTACACAAGAAGATGTGGAATTCAGCTCTGTGCTCTATTAAAAACAATTAATGATTTAAAAAAGATATTGGTGTAATTGTCTCATTGTCTGCTGCATCCAGCTGTGCTGCAGTATCAATAGCTTGTAAGTAAAATCAGGAGTTTTGACTCGGCTGTGATGCTTTTCTTCATCTTTCTCTTCCTTCCTCCAATCTTTCATAAATAACACTCTTTATAAAAGAAAAAGTCTCATTTTTGAGGCTGATCCATTTTAATCACTAATATAAAAAACAAAAATTACAGTTAAACTTGAAAGAATGTCATTTAAAACCACAGTGCCATCTTCTGGCGAAATCTGGGCATTGCAACATGACGCAATACTTTCCAGACTTTTTTATTAGCAATTTTAAAAAATGAATGCATTCATTTCTTCCAGCTTTCCAGTGACGTGTTACTCTGTGTTGATCTGTCACATAAAAAGAAAATCATCTTTCTTTTCAAAACAGCTTCACACATTTATAAAAACCTCGAATGCAACTGAAGCTATTTAATGTAAAGTTAAAGTCCATTTGTTTTTAAAGAAACTTATGAAAATGAAATGAGCACAAAAAAAACTCAGAACAATTAATCCACAAACTCTGCATGCAAACCGCAGCTGCTTCATTTGATTAATTCATTAATTAAACAAATGAATAAAAACAGCAGCTTGTTCCTGCTCTACCTGGCAGCTGAAGGATCATAACTCTGATAAATCACCTGCAGGCTGACGGTTACATAACTGATGATAAATCACATAAACTGACATGTTTATTTGGAGAAAAAACATACATAGATGCGCCTGGAGACCACCCAGCCAGCACACCTAGGTGGGCCCCATATGGGATATAAGTGGGCAGGCAATAGGGTCCCAAAAGGGTTTGTCCACGGTTTCCATGGTGGCCCCACATGGGTTTGCCCAAGTAGATTTTAATGGGTGCTAACTGGGTTTTCAGTGGGTCCCACATGGTTAACTCACATGAGGCCCATCTGTGGCCCACTAGGGTGCTGTCAAGAATATTTACGTGGGTCCCAATTGGGTCTGAACTGGGCTAGAATATGGGTACCAAGTGGGTTTGTCCACGGTTTCCATGGTGGCCCCACATGGGTTTGCCCAAGTAGATTTCAATGGGTGCTAACTGGGCTTTCAACGGGACCCAGATGCCTTAATCCTGTAGGAACAATTCTCATCTAACCTGGATGTGAATTACATTCATAGATATGCAATCTTGATCAACAATCCAAAGTCTAGCTTAAAACGTGTTCAAATAAAAAATAAAAAAAAAGAGATGAAAAATTTATTTTGCTCAAGGCTTTTATTTAGTAATTTAAAATATTTGAGTCATCATTATTATGTACAGAAACTATATTCTTACTGTAAATTTAAAATATATCCATCTATATAAATCAACTACTAGGTTCTATCGTGGTTTTGTGGTTATTTTAATATTGTTTGAAATGCAAACAATATTACCTTCAAATTTTTAAGTTCTTAACAACAGTGAAAGAATACTGTTCAAATAAAACCAAAAATTGAAGACTCAATTTTTAACCTAAAAACATTACTAAAAATAACAAACAAAAGCATAAAACAACCAAAATAAATTAACATATGTTTAAGAAAGAAAAGTGAAAAAAAAAAGTTACTCTGACAATAAAAACTGATATTTACCATACAAAACATCAAAGAGACGCAGGTCCAAGAGCTTGTTTCCAATGTTGGCCAAAAAGGTTGAACTGGACTTCCAGTTCATGGGACATGAGGAATCGCACAGCTGGTTGTATTGTGTCATCTAAGGATGCTCCTCCAATTTCTGTAGCCATGGCAACCTTAAGTACAATGACAATAACAGGACAACATTTTGTTTTTGTTCATCAGTTTGTTATTATATCACTCTTATGTGCTTAATTTTACTAACATATTAATCTACCTTTTTCAAATCATTATAAAGTGATCTTCACACGCTGATCCTCTTGAAGCCTGCAAAAATATATATTTTATTAGTGCAATATAACATTTAGACTTTTCAAAAAAATAAAAAAATTAAGGCAAAACAGCCTTTGTATAGATTAACTACTGAAGCCTTATATTGTAAACACTGAACAGTTTTGCAATTATCCTAATTTCTTTGTTAACGTGACAGGACTAAGACAGTA